CGCCTAAGAAGCGGGATTTTTTATAAGCCTGCACATTTGTACACAACAGAGTGGGCGTGTCTCAGCACGGAGACAGCAGAGCAGAAAGGGGTTGGGGGTAAAGAGGACGGAGACTTATGCCTTGTTGAGACTCGTGCTTAGCCAGACTCTCTTTGTGGTCAAAGCCAAGCGCGCACTGATCCTGCTTCTCAACCTCCACCCCGTATTTCCCTCCAAACCCACGCTTATAATCTGCAAAGACACACATGAAAAGATGACAAGACAGACCGGACACAGAACAGGGAAAAGAAACCCAATTCCCCAGCACACGCAATAGTTGAGAAACACCAACGTTAAAGCAGCGGCGTGTCAATAAATCCTAATATAACATCAGAGTGTCTGCAGGTATCAGCGAGTGAAATGCTTTCTCGAAAGGAGCATCCTGGAGCGGTTGGGGTGTGCGGGGTCAATTCACTTGTACCTTTGAATCGTTCGATTTAGAATGTTTGTGGTATAAAATGCAAGACCTGAGGACACCCTGTAAATAGTGACACTGACGCACCAAGCATTCCCACACAAACAAACAATCAAATGATACATGATCTGCCGGAGCACAGTTGGCGTAGAAATCACTTCAAATTACAGACGTGCTGATAAAAATGCGTCATTACTGGGCCCGCTATAAGCGGATTAAACACACGGGCATATATGAGAATAACAATTCTGAACCGGTAACGGTTGCTCCTCTTCACATCACCCTGTTGATTATTTTCCCAAATCACAGCATCAGATCATGCCTTATTAAAAGCCCTTTCTTATATTCGGTATACACTGTACTTGCATCTCTTTAAAAACTAGAATAAATGGCATGATATAAGGTTAGGCAGTTATGAAAAATAATAAAATAAAATAAAAAAAGTACATCAGCTGATGCTTACTTAAAAGTTCATGCCAACATTACACTATAAAGCCCTTTCTAGTGACCCAGTGTGAGCTACTTAGGAATCTAGTGGATCTGTTCAAGAAGAGGACTGGGTTTTTTTTGTCAGTTTAAGAGCCAAAGCATTGCATCTTCAGTTTAAAACAGGAAATATATATATTTCATTTAACACACACACAGGACTCTATATATATATATATATATATATATATATATATATATATATATATATATATATATATATATATATATATATATATATAAAATGTGTGTGTGTGTGTGTGTGTGTGTGTGTGTATGTATATATATATATATATATATATATATATATATATATATATATATATATACACACACACACACACTTTTATATATATATATATATATACACACACACACACACACACATACATTATATATATATATATATATATATATATATATATATATATATATATATATATATATATATATATATATATATATATATAAATAATATATATACATACACACACAAAACTATATTTTATACATATATAATATATATATATACATATACACATACATACACACACACACAATATTTTTATAAATATATATATATATATATATATATATATATATATAAAATGTGTGTTTATATGTGTGTATATTTATATATATATATAAAATATGTGTGTGTGTGTGTATGTATGTATATAAAATTAGTTGTACACTCACACAATTCAATTATTTAATGATGACCCCTATCAAATTCACCATGTGACTTGCACAAAATTAGAAAGCAAAAAAAAAAAAACCCAACATTTAAAAGCCAGCCCATGGCATCATCTTTTACCAACACCCAGAGTAAGCAAATTAATAGGAATATTAATAATAGTAATAATAACAACAACTGTGGAGGACTCTAAGTAAGGAAAGTTGATTGTGGTAAAACCAAGCTGATCTGGTCAATCGAGAACTGGCTCTTTTCTAATGGAAAACCAGACTAAGAACCAGCATCTTGAAATAAAGGCAGTGGTAAAGAGCCATCAACCTGACAGCAAGGTTCTCTCCATCGACTATAATACAGGGAAAAAAAAAATCATGCTTCACATGGTCACATCCCCATGTTTCAAAACTTCACTCTCGGTAAAACGTCCTTTCTTTCAGAAACATAAATCAGCGGAGGCGTGCGTTACCTTTCTGAGACTCGTGAAGCTGCAGTTTCTCCTGATGGTCCCAGCCAAGAGCGGATTTATCCACACGGTCCGTCTGCACACCAAACTTTCCTCCAAAGCCCTTCACGTAGTCTGGAGTGCACATGAAACATATTTCAAAACAAACAAAGAATGAAAGCCGAAAACACTCGCGCGGCTGGATCAGGAAGCTGTTGCAAGCTTGCGATGACCTGAACACCACCAGACATGTCGACTCGGGTGGGAACGACGACTTCACAGTCCTAATCGTTTTTCTCCCTCTCTCTCTTTTTGCCGAGCCCAACACGAATTTATGGAGATATTGGAGATCCAGATCCCTTCTGCCTCTGGATGAGCCCAAATCCTCTGCTGGGACTACGGCTGCTCCTAAGGCCATACTTCTCATTTTCACATTATCTGTGTTACCTTCACATTCTGTGTTCCCCAGATGAGGATGGGTTTCCCTTCTGAGTCGGGTTCCTCTCAAGGTTTCTTCCTCAAAAAACATCTTAGGGAGTTTTTCCTTGCCACCGTCGCCACTCAGTTGGGATAAATTCCATTTGTTTTATACCCGTTTGTCTCTGTTTATCTGTTCCTGTTTGTCTCTGTTTATCTGTTCCTGTTTGTCTCTGTCTATCTGTTTCTGACTGTTTATACCTGTTTTTTATTTCTGTAAAGCTGCTTTGAGACAATGACTATTGTCAAAAGTGCTATACAAATAAAATTGAATTGTGTGTGTGTTTACAAAGAAACGCCAATCACGTAGATGATGTTTTGTAAACGTTGTAAAGCATTTTGCAAAAAAAAAAAAAAAAAAAAAAAAGAAAGTGTTAACTTCACCCTAGATATACAGAGAGACTTTTCGGACATCCTGGACATACTCATAAAAAAGTAAAACATGTTCTTTAATCTTTTTTTTTTATTATAAAAATTGTAAGCATTTTGCAAACTGCTGAGGTATAAGAGGAATAAGACAATATGGGATAATGCTGTTATAGGTAAATAATCAGCTGTGGATTCTTCTACATGTGCAGTTTTCATAAATAGACAGTAGAGTCCATGTATTGCTAAACTGAATGGTTTTGGGGATGTCACGTGCATCACAAACCTTTCTGTGACTCGTGTTTCTCGGTTTTGCCATGATACTCGAAGCCCACGGCACTTTTGTCCACTTTATCAGTTTCCACTCCATATTTCCCACCGAACCCTTTAGCGTAATCTGCGGATAAACAAATATCGAAACAAGTAAAGGAACAGCCATCATAGAGAAGCGAATGCTGTTCGTACCACTGGGGGTTCTCCATGTGCACGTATACAGCAGGCTACGATGTCAGGGAAATCATTACGGTCTAATCGTGACCACTATCGATTGTCAATTACACACAATCAAACCGCAACAAAAACTAGATAAATATTTAACCTACCAAAAGGGAAAGAAGAAAAACAAAAAAACAAAAAACAGGCAATAGGATCATGGGAAACAAACCTTTCTGGGATTCGTGTTTCTCGGTTTTTCCCTGATAATCAAAGCCTACAGCGCTCTCGTCCACACGATCAGTCTGAACACCATACCGACCCCCAAAACCACTGGTGTAATCTGGGACACACACACACACACACACACCACAGCAGCCAAACATGGCGAGAGCGGGGGTTGTGGGGGAAGCAACAGAAATTACACAGAGCAGCAAGCAGAGTTGAAAACACGCAGGGATCTGATGGAAGAGCTGCGGTGTGTTTGAGTTTCCATCCAAACACAGCCACTTGTTTCCATTACAATCAACACGATGGCAAAAGAGAACCAGCTCATCATACAGATACTATAAAGCACAGATTCTCACACACACACACACACACACACACACACAATGTGTAGCCAGTAGCATTTGGATGGAGAACTCACTACTGAGCTAACGCTTTTGTTTTTCCATCCCCACAAAACACAACCCCCCCCCTTCCTTTAAAAAACAAAAACAAAAAAACACCCCCCCCCACCCCCCTCCCATTAAATATACTTCACCATATCAGACCTCTTATCTCAGCGACGTTGACCGTGGCATGGTTGTTTGTGCCAGAAAGTCTGAATTTTATCAGAAACCACTCATCTCTTATGCTTCAAGAGTTTATACGGAAGAGTGTGAAAAACAAACAAAACAAAAATATCTGATAAACTGCCGGTCTGTGGGAGGACACATCCTGTTGAAGAGAGGTCGCAAGAGAATGGCTCGACTGGTACAAGATGAAAGGAAGTCTACAGTAACACCGATAGCCACTCTTTACATCCGTGGTGAGTGGAAAAGCATCTCAAAACACGTAACATGTCGAACCTTGAGGAGGACAGGCTCGACCAGCCAAACACAAACAAACATTAACTAAAGCTCTTGCCACGTCACCACCATTTTATGCGTTGTGCGTGAGGCACCGTCATCTGATTATATAATTGCACGAATGAGCATGTGTACCTAAAGTGGACAGTCAGTGTATGTTAAAGTTCACATTACTAAAGAGCGCACACTACTGAAAGCTTCAGGTCTAGCTGTACATATTCACTGGGACTACCTGTACTCCAATGTTCACCCATGCTATTCTTCATTCAGATATGGGATTGAGTCATCTAGAGATCGATCTACGGGAGGTTTTCTGTGTTCTGCGGAGAACATTGTGAAGATTTACATTTTTAGAAAGCCAAGTCCTACAATGATGTAACGTAACACGAAATTACAGTACTTACACATGTCAGCTTGGTCAATCTATAACAATCAATAGGACTTCCTCGTTTAAACAAAGTTACCATCAAATCAAGAGAACTTATTTATGCCCGTACCCAGAGCACAACTTACATTTATCTCGTTTATACATCTGAGCGGTTAAGGGCCTCGCTCAACGGCCCAACAGTGACAGCTTGGCAGTGCCGGGATTTGAACTCACGATCTTCCGATCAGTAGTCCAACGTCTTAACCATTGAGCTACCACTGCCAAAACTGGGCAACGAACTTTCTTAGCAGGCACTTTTATTCAAAGCAAATTACAAATGAGGAAATACAAGCGAAGCGATAGATCAAGTGGAGAACTTAACAAGTAGAACCTTACAAGATTGATTTCTAGAGGAGCAGGGCGCAGAGTGACAGATTTTACTGTCTGGGAACGTGAACCTCAAGGACAGTGTTGAGGTAGGGGGTGCTGCTCCAGATAAGGTCTTGTATGTGAGCATCAAGGCCTTCCTGGCTACAGGAAGTCAGTGGGGGGAGATGAAGAGGGCATGTGACATGGGCTGGTTGAAGACAAAGCAGGCTGCTGCATTCTGAATCATCTGAAGGGGCTTGATGGAGCTGGCCTAAGTAACTGTATGACCTCATCAGCAAGCCCTGATATACACAACACCAAGTAGCACTAATAACAGAATTGCTTATATGAAGAAGTTTAACTCAAGAGCAAGAGTACATCCGTACACTGATTTTAAGGCAGAGAAGCTGCTGAAACAAATTACAGTACAGGCAGGTGGCAAATTAAAGGAAAAACTGCTGGTTTTGGTATGCTGTAGGGGAATTTACTTTCCACATGTCCCTTACAGGGAAGTGTCGCCTCGAACCAGTACAACGGGTTTCTGAGTGCTACGCTTTACTCTACGACGTAACATTCCTATCCTGATGCGAGTTCTCTCTTCCAGGATGACAGTGCTCCCATCCAAAGGGCAAAAGGGCTCACGGAATGGTTTAACAAGTGCAAAAACGATCATCGTACATACCGTAAATTTCGGACTATTGAGCGCACCTGAATATAAGCTGCACCCAGTAATTTTAAGAAGCATTTAAAAAAATTTGGTACACATATAGGCCGCACTTGTCTATAAGCTGCAGGTGTCCACGTTGTAACATGAGATATTGACACGAAGATTTTTTTTAACTTTTAATTAAATACGTAACGTAAATGCTTTTTTCCAAACTGTGCCTGTAACACGGCTGGTTAAAAAAAAAATAATAAAAAATGCAGTTGCCTACCAGGAAAAGTCACTGATCGCTATCTTCAACTTCCTCCTGCGCACCAAAACCACTAAAGTCGTCTCCAGTGTCGTAATTGAACAGCCTCAGAATTACCGGCACTTCGTCACACACCGCCTCTGAAAGCTTCTGTCGTCTTTTTGCGTTGTCAGTTCTTCACGCTGCCGTCTCCACCGTCTCACCATCGATTCATTGATGCCAAGCTTACGTGCAGCAGCTCTATTTCCTTCTTCCGACAACCAGATCGATCGCCTTTAACTTGAAAGCGGCATCATATGCATTTCTTTTTAGTGCGAGTGCGTTTGATAATTTCATTGGTAATTTCATTGGTCCGATGTGACGAGGCTAAATGTTTTGGCGGATGCAGGTGCAGATCGAAGTCTTTATTAAACACGTAACTCAATAAACAAAGAAAACTCGGTCTTCTCCGGAAAACGAGATGAATCGAGGCATGGATACAAACGACATCACGTATCTAACCTTTACCAACTATAATACTGTGCAAAGTGCTCAGTAACCGAGGGGTTTAAATAGTAAACATAATCAAACCAAACCATGGACACCTGGGGCACATTAAAGACACTTAAACTAAACTAAATGCTCAAGCAGGAAGCGAGCGAACCAAAACAAAGTCACGTGACCAGTCAGGAGCCGTGCCACAGTGCCATCTGCTGGCCGTGGTGTAACAGGCAGCATGAAGCTCGTTAGCCCGTAAAAATCCATCAATTAGCCGCATCGTCATTTAAGCCGCAGTGTTCAAAGCGTGTGAAAAAAGTAGCGGCTTATAGTCCGGAAATTACAGCAATCAAAACACCAGGGAATTTTGTTTGAAAGAACAATATGGTGTTCATCCCTCCAGTACAGTCCCAGAGACCGCCCAATGGTGGCCCACTATCTAAGTAATACACGAAGTTGGTTTTTCCTTGAATCGGTCACCCATCCGTAAGTCATAAAAGCAAGCACGAGCATGTGTGGACATCAGAAAAGGACTATTCACTAAACATGAAGCTGAACAGTACAACAAGCTCTCACACACTCCAGGAAATGAGTGAAAAGAGGAAAGAAGTGAGTCTCACCTTTCTGTGAGGCATGTTTCTCTGTTTTCCCAGCATACTCGAACCCTACAGCAGACTGATTGAGGGTGGAAGAATTAAAAATATACATTTGTAAAAAGTTTATGTTTATATATATATATATATATATATATATATATATATATATATATATATATATATATATATATATAAATAAAAAGGATGCCTCAGACTTGTATTTCCCGAACATGCATCAAAATTTGTCTCATACACACACAATTATTTATGCACACAACTGTGCAAAAGTCTTGCCCCCCCCAAAGATTTAATTTCCTTATAAAACTGCACTAATTCTACCCGACACTACTCATTTCTCTTTAAGCAAAGGATTGTCACACCAAATATTGAGCTTATTTAATTTATTACTGTTTACTACACTTTATAGTATTTCCATTCATGTAGAAACATTTCATTATTTTGAAGGCATCTTCGCTCTACAGCATTTCTTTGAATGTGCCAAAAACTGTTGCACAGTATTGTGAGTGTGTGTATATACACTTTAAATATAATATATGCTTTAAAATAACAAAATAGAATCGCAATTTTTTTAAAACATGGCACCCTACACACATTATTTAAATAGCATTACAATAATTATGGACAAACTGAATGAAATAAGAAGTGAATTTGTACCTGGTCCACACGGTCACTCTGAACTCCAAATTTACCCCCGAAGCCTTTAGACGTGTCTGTCTGGGAGCAGTGCTTCGACAGTTTACTCTGATACTCGTGTCCCACAGCTGACTGCAACAACACGTTCAAAACATGAAGATTTCCCCAGAGTTAACATGGTAGTTTTCGTCCTTTCAGCCAAACAGTGAATGAGCTAGCGGATCATTCATTTCTAAACTGAGCACCACACTCTAGTGGCTCCTCCATTATTTTTCTTAACTTTCAATCTCTTTTGAAAAACAGAACTCAAGGACAAGCAATATTCCTTTAAATTAGTCCAAATTAAGAAACACCCATGTGAAAGGAGCTGCAGTGTAATCTTTAGCTCCGCCCAAACTCACATTAGACGAGTAGACGATTTACTACAGTATATGATTTATCTTTAAATCACAACATTGTCTTTAGACCGCAACATTTCAGGTGAAACGTCCAAGCAGTGGTTTAACTTTTTACCCGAATATCTTGATGAGGTGATAAAACTGTACGCTTAAAAATGAAACGAGACAGGATGCGATTAAAGGTCTTGCTCAAGGACCCAACCACGGCTGGGATTTGATCTCAGAACCTACTGATGAGGAGTAGTCCCAAAGCCATAACCGCCAGTTATCTTAAAGTGAAGCGTCTGATGTAGACAACTTCAAGCACCCCAACAACCACAAGTGATCCCACCAGTTCAGAAGACGGCACACTTCCTCTTCTAAATTCGGTCATTGCGCACGCCACCCGTATGAATAGTCTGTGTGTGTGTGTGGGCATCAGGACGGCACGCTGCCCCATCTGCTGTCTGTACTGCACACACTCTGGCCTCAGGGGTGACGTTGGCAAGGAAAAATCCCTGAGACAACATGAAGAAGAAACCTTGAGGTTTGAACCCATCCACATCTGGGTGACACCGGACAGCACGATTATACATAAATCCCTTCTAACTGTGTACTGCACTGTCAAAAAGTGCGACCAGGATATTCATTACGGTTTTCATATCAAGTCTATTTTGTAGAAGTCATCGACTGTTCACTGATGGACGATTGAGCGCAAAACCGTTTGTGGCAATCGCCGTCCTAAGGCTATTATAGCGCAACTGTTCATATCAATAAGTAAAATTAGAAAAAACTGTCTTTATTAGTAAATAAAGAGAACGAATGTGAGCCAGGACCCTGCTGATAGAACATGCTTCATAGAGAGAGGGAGAGAAAAAAAAATACCTCACATCAGCAGCCAAACCCAGTCTGACCCGGCTGTGGACGACATACCAGGGACAGAAATATTGGACTGCCTTCCCGGTGGAACACACAAAGCACACATTTGGTGCTCCTTCAAATCTGTCCAAGATACATCGTCTCAGAAGACGTTTTTCTTTATGCTGCCTTGTGAACGGGGCCTCTCTGGAGCTCAAACAATAGTACTTGCTCTATATTCTTGTTTAAAGAAAAGCAATAAATCGTCACACGCCACTCTTCCTTAAGTAGATCAATGCATGCTAAATAACTGAGGGACATCTACACAGGAATCCAAGGAGGTAAGAGTCCAGTACTGATACTGATCATGCAGATTTGCTTTACATAGATTTGCCTAATTTTTATATATAAAAAAAACAAACAAACTACATGTACAAATATCCTGCTTTTTCCTCTGTATTATTAAAGCCACCTGTACAATAATGAAGCAATCACATGATTCCAAGAAGAGTTTTAGTCATATTCAATTCTTCTTTGGGTTTAATTTTCCCCTCCTACAAATTCCTAATTTTCCGAAAACTCTAAATCTCCCCTGCTGCAGCGAATCGGTGCGAATTTTCCGCTTGGGTGCGGTCATCAGGATCCAAGTTGACGAGCTCCTCACAATCGTGTGAAAAAGACAGAAACAAGAAGTGAAAGAAAGGCAGTAGGTAAGGGGGGGTGGGGGACGTGGAAGTGAAAGAGACACATCTCTTACCTTGTCCATTCGGTCTTCCTGAACACCAAACTTCCCACCATAACCATGCGACGCTTTGGGCATGGTATCTAGCTCCCGCTGTTTCAGATCACTGTGCTCACAGGACACTGTCTCACGAAGCTCGTGGATGCTGAAGGAGCAGGAAAAACACACTGAATATTTAACCTGCTTCGCTCAACAAACAACAGTCCGTTCAGGCAGTGGGCATCGTATTTATAGCTGCAACAGCAGGATATGACATCCTCTAATATCACTTCTTTAATATCTAAACTCGAATATCA